AAATATACTGTTTTAAATTCAATTGATCTAGTTAACAAAATTAAAAACATAAATTTAAGTTCTGAGGCTACGTTAGTTTCTTTTGATGTTAGCAATTTATTCACTAATGTTCCCAGAGAGGAAACCTTTCCTATTATTAAGGACCTTCTTACTAAAAATAACTTTAATCTTCATTCGATCAATATTATCCTGGATTTACTCAAAGTCTGTCTTGACCAAGATTTCTTTATTTTTAATAAAACATTTTACAGACAACCTAATGGCCTAGCAATGGGCAATCCTCTAAGTCCTTTGTTAGCAGACTTATTTTTAGATCACCTAGAAACCAATAAAATTCTGAATGATTCCCCTAATAATCGAATCTTACACTGGTACAAATATGTTGATGACATTTTTGCTATTAGGAATTGCAACTTCACTGAGATTGATGACTTCTTAATTTTCATTAACAATATCCATCCTAAAATCAAATTCACAGTCGAACTTGAAGTCAACAAATCACTTAATTTCCTAGACCTTTCTATTAGTCGTCTGAATAATAAGCTTGATTTTAATATCTACAGGAAACTCACTCAAACTGATCATCTAATTAATTTTCACTCTAATCACTCTTATCAACACAAGTTAACAGCCATATACTGTTATGTTCACCGTCTCCTCAATGTACCTTTCTCCAATCATAATTTTAATAAAGAAATCAACGTTTTAATTTCCAATGATATCGCTGCAGTTTTTAAGGATTGCAACAATATTAAAATTTCTTTTAAAAATGTTAATTCGATTAAAAGCCAACTGTCACACACTAAGGATGAAATCGAGTTGCTACACAAAAGTGGTATTTATAGATTAAACTGTAACGATTGCAATACTACTTATATGGGGAAAACCGAGAGAAGACTCAACATACGAGCGGGTGAACACATTAGATATCCAGATAAGTCTACTTTTGGACATCATATTAAATTCAATAATCACAATTTCACTCCTCATAATATCACTGTCCTTCATAATATTTTTAATTGCAACTTTAAATTAAATCTGCTCGAAGATCTTGAGATACACCGAGAGTTTAATAAAACTAATGTCACATGTGTTAACACTCAAATCCATCTCAATAGCAAAGTGCCTCCCCTCTTTAAGAGTATTGGCAACGGTTGGTCTGAAGTTACCTAGCTAGCCTCTCCATGAATCTTCTTACAGCGGAGTTGATCTTGTCTTCTCCGGTGATATTTAGTCAGGCACCTTTTAATTCCAATAATTTTATATAAAAAATGTGTGTTAACCTTCATGCACTGTATATTTTATCATTCTATTTAATCATTGTAATGTTTGGTTGTTTAAAATTTAAAATTCCCTCCATAACTTGTTCTTGCTAGTTCAGTGGTACCAACCCACTTTTATCTTTGTCAATATTAACTTTCGATCATTTCTCAGTTCTTTTTTTGGCACTGTCAAGATGGTTACTTTTTCCAAAATTTTGCTAACGTTTTACGACTTCTTGTGCCCCAACTTGCCTCCGCCTCTCGGCAGCGACTTGGAAAGGTCAGCTGGCTTCATGCTAAAGTACAGTTTTGTATCTTTCTCTACCTTTGAATGGGTGAGATTGTTTATTTCTACGTGTTGGGATGAGCCCCCACGTTTTTCTTAAATTGCAACCACCTTTTAGGAGTGGTTCTGTTATTTCTTACGACTCAAGCCTCAAGTTATGGCAGCCCTTTTTAATCTAGTTATATATTAATTTTCATGCTTCTACATTTATTGACGAGTAAGTTTTCAAGATGTTTTATTTTTTATTCAATGTTCAGGAATATCACGATTTGATTATATTGTTATAGCTCCGTTTTTTCTCTTTTTGTAGTGTCTCTAATGATGGCCTAACAGGCTGAAAGCGCTTAGACTAATATTACTGAGTTTTTTTAATAAAACTCTACCTACACACTTTAAATACTTTCGATTCATTTCTTATAAAATTTTACATTTTTATTAGCATTTTCTAATACGCATAAAATTCATATATTTTGTCGAATTAAATTCAAGAGCCCGCCAATTTTCAAATTAAAATAGCATTACAGCTTTTTATATTACCTACTGAGTATTAGTTGCACAAAACTATCCCATATGTCGCTGAAGGCAAACATGTTGCCAAATTTCTGTGTGGAATCTGCAACTCTTATTTATCCTTCCTCCATAAGTATCAGTTACCACTATACTTTTTTCCTGAAGCGCCATTAACTACGGACCATCTCTGACGGATACAACATTTCGACATATAAAAGGCTGATCTAAAACATCAAAGTTACAAGAATAATTTCCATCAGCGTTCACTAGATTCAATTTATAAATATTATGAGTAATAAGGTGGGACTCATAACCTCCAAAAAGTGCATGTATTACAGACTCTAACCCAACTGACTCATAACCCATTTTAGATATTAACGATTTACTGATGTATGAGCGTTGAGAGCCAGTGTCAATAATTGCCCGTACATATCTACATATTGCTCCGTTAGTGGCCTTAGGGTGCGTTAAGTGAGCGGTCGGACCGGTCGAAACTGTCTAGCGAGAGAGAAAATCGACCAACATGACCAGTCATGACTAATCAGCTGATCGGTCAGAGTCAGTCAACACGGTCGAGAAATTGAGTTTGACTTGGTTAGTCAAAACTGTCTAGCGAATGGGCACTTGTCAATTCATGTTTTTATTTCATTTAAATAAACAAGAAATTAATAGTTATGGATAAACTAATGTTGTTGAAATTTCATCATCAGTTTGAAAAGCCAACTGACAAGTAGCCATAATAAGTTTATTTATCTTTCTGCTGTTTATATTATTTTTTCTAAATGCCTTTTAATTGAGTTTACCGCATTCTTTAGAACTGTCGATGTGTCCAGAGACGAGGGACTCACAAAATACAGGAGACAGGAGGGACTGCCTGGTCTTGAAATTTTCGGCTAACTAATCATGAATTTTACAAATTAGGACTAGACAGTTTCAAATACATCGCCTAGCGAGCGGTCTGCCATACCAGTCAAGTTGACCGTTAACTGAACGCAGCCTTAACAACTAGAGTTTGCAAAAAAGTTCCATCAAAAGTATTATTTGAGAGGGTATCAGCTGTAAAGCTGTCAACTTGATCAACTGAATTTGAACCTACGTTTGTATTCACCAAATTCTTGGTGCATAGAATCGTAGCATGTCTTTCTTTACATGTCGAACAAAAAACTTTAACACGACACTTTTTGGCAATATGTCCAAATTTCAAACACTTATGGCAACGACCTTTATCAGTTATAAATTTTATTTTTTGATTATATGACCAGGTTTTCAGCTCATTACAATCTTCAGCAATATGATTTTTATCACAAAAAATACAATATAACAATATAAATCATTTTTTTGATTAAGAAGACTTGATGCAGTAGGAATATTGAATCTGTTTCCCTGATTAAAAAATGAAGGTTTCTTTTTAATATAATAAAAACCAAAAACATCCAAGGAAATACTCTCTTCATTTTCTACCTCCTTTCTTAGAAAAATCATCTAAACATGATGATGATGACGTGACTTCGAACTAGATTCTATATCATAATTATTACTGCGTTGCCATGCTCTCAAGACTTCTTCTGGTTAACACGATTCTACCATAGGATAGAGAATAGCAGCGTATTTATCGGATGTTACACCTAGAGTTTTTAAAGACCGTAATTGAGATTCGACACTATCATACAATTTTGTTAAGCTACTTTTGGTATTTAAATTATTGAGAACTAATTTTAATAACTCCCTAACATAAAATTCAACAAGTAAATGATCACGACCCTAGACTTTCGATAGCCTTTGGGTAGTTATCATGAGTAGGTGGATAACTTTCTACTAAATGTCGGGCTCTAGACTTTGGTGTTATAGCTTGAATAAGATATTGGAACTTCTCTTCTAGAGCCATGTCCTCATCATCATCAATACGTTTAAATTGTACCAATATGTTAACCAATTCTTAATATCGCTACAAATTCTATCTTTGGCAACTTTAAACTTGTTTAGATGATCTACAGAAATTTTAATAGACTTATACTTGCGATTAACATCATCCATGATCTCTACTTCTTGTAGAATAACTCTCTCATCGCAAGCTTTATCCAACATATAACCTATTAACTGATCATGGAGATCAACCAACGAAGACATCTTTTTTCCTAACATTTCAACATTGCATTTTAACACCTCCTGGTCAAGTTCCTTGCTCTTAAGAATCGTCTCCGGTTCATCGCAAATATTTTGGAAAGAAACACATACAACTCCAAAATACTTCTTGGTCTTATCTATCTCGATGGGATCTCGCCGGGGCCTCCAAAAAACTGTAAAATACAAGATGAACTAACCGTCCAAATATATTTTAAAAAAAGTTCCAAATATGGAATAGAACCAGAAACAGTAAAACTTATAAAAAACCAAATATTAAAAAATCGATTTGACTTTTTTTTATTGAAAAGATTTTTCTAAAACATATATCATATTGACAAATATAATCAAGTTAACAAAATATATACTGAATGTTACAAAATAAAAATGTGATTCAGTTTTAACAAAAAGTCCAATAAAAAAAAATGCTCTCATTAAAAATTTCTTATTTTTTTATGAACTTTAAGAATATGTAAAAAAATGGGTTTCCAATTTAAAATAAAAAAGTCCACCTCGATACGGCCATATTATGGTCAAAAAATGAATTTCTAAAAAATGTTTCCCCCAAAAAACTATAAAATTTTTGTCTAAAACTTTTTATAAGATGCATATTTTCGGCGGTATTTAACTGTAACACTTTAATTTGAACACCCGATATAGTTACGATTTTTGTTCAAGGACGACCTCAGCTGAGCCCAACTCACCTGAGTTCGGTTTATAAATACGGGCAAACTATAAGCGGTGTCATGTCGTATTAGATAAGGACACTTAATTTAAAGATTATTTTATTTAATTTGCACTGTTTATTTCATTCTTAATTATTTAAAAACACAGATAACGAATATAAATTATTTAATAGTTCTAATAGTTTATAGATATCTATTATCACATTATTACACCAGCCGTCACGAAGTACCAGCGATTTCGAAAAAATGGCAAGTACCTACCAATTATTTATAATCAGAGCTGTTTAAGATCATTTTAAAAACGATTTAAATCAAAGATCATAAATCATTGCATTTGAAAAAATGATTTAAATCAAAGATCGATTTTTTAAAAAGAAAGATTTAAATCAAAAATCTTTTTTAGATTTAAATCTTTTTTACAATTTAAATCATTTTAGGAAAGATTTAAATCTTTTCGAAAGATTTAAATCTTTTCAAAAGATTTAAATCATTTTAGGAAAGATTTAAATCTTTTCAAAATATCTAAATCTTTTTAAACGAAATAAATATTTTCAAAAGATTTAAATCTTTTTATAGATTTGGGTGACTCTTTAAAAAAGGCTTTCGGTAGGCCAAAGATAATGAATACTTAAGTAATGTGATTTTCTCATAAATAAAACGCAAAACTCGATCAACTTTTCTCGTATTTATTTTTTATCGTTATTAGCTCAATGCAATTCTTACGGAAATATTAATTTTAAATAATCAAGATAATATTTTTAAGGATTTATGCAGCATTGATATCTATAGTTATTAAATTTGTTATTTAAAAATGTCATGTCAATTGGTAAATAGGAATTTTTCAACCCTTTAAAAGATACTTTTGGTATGCCTATGATGCCACAAAACAATGGAGACCTAGTTTTTAAGAAAAGTGATTTTTTTCTGAAAAATCACTTAAATCCGTCAACTCTTCCTTAAGTTAACGTGCTTAATGTCACACATACATAAACACCCCACATAGATGCACATACAATCAGACTCTTTAAAAATATGTTTTTTTTGTACTTAAGAGACTCTTCCGGAAAAATGCATTTCATTTTCAAAATCTTCCGCCTATGAATAATGAAATTGACTGGGTTGAATTAAAAGAGTTCTTCTCTCAACGTGAAGTTATTGCGAGTAAATAAATAACCAAAGTTAGCGCGTTTGGGTTAATTTTTTTGAAAAATGTGTGGATGAATCAGCCAAAGAAATAAAAAATTTAATTAATTCGCTCTATCTATGCCAAGCGTGTTTATTGAACTGGTCAAAAAGTCTTAATGCAACTCATGTCAAATCTGAAATAAAAGTGTGCATAAATTTAAAATACATATGTTAAGAGTTTCAGGATATTGTAAAATTTCATACTTAAAAATAATCTTTAGTCATTGCAATTATTTGTTACACTTTACTATTTTTTGTTTGTCTTTTCTCTCGGATTTCTGATTCAACCCTACTGACATGCTGACTAGATTATTATTCAGAAATAGACAGGTTGATAACGATTTTAACGAATCAGGTGATGTAAATCGTTTTAAAAAGATTTAAATCTTAAAAAAATTTAAATCTTTAACAAAATTTAAATCATTTTAAAAAGATCGCATTATTTTACAGATTTAAATCATTTCAGAAAGATTTAAATCAATAAAAAGATTTAAATCGTTTTAAAAAGATTTAAATCGTTTTAAAAAGATTTAAATCGTTTTAAAAATATTTAAATCGTTTTAAAAAGATTTAAATCGTTTTAAAAAGATTTAAATCTAATTTTTAAATAAAAAATCAAAGATACTTTTCAAAAAGATTTAAATCATAAATCAAAAATCATTTTTTTAAAAAAGATTTAAAATCAAAGTATTTAAATCAAAAAATGTATTTAAATCAAAAAATGATTTAAATCTCACTGATAGGTGACAGCTCTGTTTATAATTATGGAAATTATTTATTTTTATAGCTACTTGTGTATTAAGAGCGAAAAGTGATACTTTGCCGCTAGAGACAGAAAGTTGCCCGCACGTTTAGCGGAGCGCGGCAATCTGTCGAAAGCTGCAGCGAACTTTTTGCTCAAAATGCACACAAGATTTTTCTACAATCACACTTTCTTAAGAAATAGATATAAAAACTGAAAATTTGTCGTAAGTAGTGTATAATGTGTTGCCTATATCTACGTTAATCATGAACAAAATCAATTATTGATATTCAAAGTCCATGTTAACTTGTATATTATAACAAAAAAACATGTAACTACGTACAAATAACTTAAAAATCATTTATTAAAAAGAAATATTATTTTATTATAGCTAATTTAAATTAGGCGGGCAACAAAGCTGTCAACTGTGTCACTCGGCGAGCGACAAAGCTCTCACTCTTAGAGCATATAAGACTAGAGATATCATTCAATGTATTTTGTTATGTATAAGCGGGGTCATCACTTCTGGCGTGAGGGGAGAAGGGTAGGTACGCCATTCTCAATGGCGTACGGTTTGAAAGGGTTCGTATTTATGTTTACCATTTAGGGGGTTGTGATTGACAACCTGTGTTATTTTTAATAGGTCTGCTATTTTATAAACACACAGAAATAACAACCTGTTCACAAATAACGTGTCTGTTAAAAATAACATTACTTGTCCATCATAACCCCTTTATTATGCACTGTAATTTCACAATAACTAATAATTTAGATAATTAATTCGCATGATTAATAAACAAATTTATTTAACAATGTTCTTTTTCTATTTCTGTTAAGCTTTCGTTATACATGGTATTGTATACATGTTTTACTGGAAATGACTATATGTTCGTTTACGATTGAAAACTTTCTTTATTGTAGATATAGGTTTTGAAACTGTATGCTTTCAAATGAATTCGTGATCACACATTATTTTCGTTAGGTTCAAGTAGATCATTTAGAAACTGAAATATTTTTTATATAGAGTAAATAAAAGAAAAACGAAAACAAATAACAATAATTTATTTCTAGTAGTAATAATATTAAATGTACATGTTTTATAATAAAATTATTAATCAATGTAATCAAAACAAGAGATAATATAAAATATAGTAGGTACCTAACTATTCGTAATAGACATATTTATTAACTTTACAAGCAGAACACAATAGCTTATTTTGCTTCAACTGACTGATTTTGTTGAAACTTGCTGCCAATATCAACATATCCAATATATTTTTGGCCAGTCCATTCTACCTTTTGCATAATTGCCATTTCATCCATCAAAAGATTTAAAAAAAACCTTCTTTATAACCTTTTTGACTTTCTCGCCTTTAAATTTCAATGCCCTTCAGTGAACCCAGGAGAACCATCAACAGCCTAATGTCATTTTGATAAAGTACTGGGATGTGGAAGACAATTGTTAAATTTTTCCCTCACATATGTATAAGCCTTCATATTGTAGAAGCTTAAAGTTAGTGCTAACGCTCTTAATTCAGGGTAGTATTTTGTTCTGGAATGATCTTTAATTGATCTCTTGACCAATTCCTTAGATCCACTTGCAAGAGAAGCCTAAAAAATAAACTAATTTGATTCAAAATAACATATAAATAAAATGTTTCTTCATCATTAAAAACATTTATGAATATTACTGGAATTAATTCTTACATCCACAAGTATATCTCTACCTTTTATAAGAGTTATTTTTTATATATCCTATCATACTATTTAAAGATTCCAATCTACCTTGTAAAAAATATTTCCCCTAAGTTTTTCAATTATATTTTTTTTTTGGCATAGAATCTTCTTTTGGGCAAGAGCTAATTTTCTATAAAAAAATAATTGTTCAATTTTTTTTCTTAAGCATTGCTTTCCTGAAATCATAATAATGCTTGATTATATGAGAAAATATCTTATTTGACTTCAACAAACCTTCGTCTTTCTTTTTTAAGTTTTCTTTCCCTTTTAGAAGGGAGCTTACAAATATTATGGTTTTAGGTGATGATTTTATCAAATTTTAAACAATTTTTTGCCTTTTAAAGAGAGTTAAAGATTGAAGTTCCCTGTCTTGCATATTTTCGTCCCTACAAATGAAATGTACATAAAATGTATTCTGCAGATTTTTAATGATATACATTTAATTAAATTTCAAAAGTTCCAAAGGCTATTATTACCAGCACCTGTTTGGCTTTTAAAAATATAAGAGCTAATCATACCTTTTCATTAGCCTTCTTTCTTTGCTAACTTTGAAATTTTCAATGTTGGGAACTGCAGATAAGGGCATATTTTCTTTACTGTTGTTATTTTTATGCCTGTAAACAATAATGTAATAATAATAATAATAATAATTAATATATGTCTAGTATTTAACAAAATAAGCCACATATATGAATATCAAATTACAAGTATTTACAGTTTAATTGGAAAAAACTCATTTCTATAGCAAAGTACAGGTACAGATTTTGGTATAGATCCTTTTATTAATCTATTGCTACCTTTAAAATAATGTTCAGTTGAAAATGGTCTGAACACAGACATGTGTTGTTAGAAATGCTATTAATGATCAAACTAAATACTTGACAGTTTGGTTGTGAGATCAGCGGGAAATCTGAAATAAGTAAAAAAAGATTTCAAATATTAATGGCAGTTGAATAAATATATACAATACAAAAATATATCTAATCCATTTTATATTATATACAAAAAGACATAAATTAAGCAATATCGCAAAGAAAACGACTATATATTTTCTGTCGAACGCAACCAGTTGCGGTCATGCTCAAATGAAGAAAATTCTACAAACATGTTTTCATATTCATTTGCCCATTTCCCATTTTAAGTTACGTTTATGGAATATAGAATACTTACTTGTGAAACGTCAACCAGGATCCTTTTAAGTATGTATTATTGCAAACTATACAAGCTTTCGGCATAATTAGCACTTATTTTATAATAAAATTACACTTAAAAAGTTTATCAAAGCGAAACCTCGTCCAAATTGTCTTTGGAAGCCACAAAAAAAGATATTTTTAAAAACGAAAACAAGACGTCAAATGAAATGTCATTTATCACAAAGACGCGCGTTATTTAAAGCCATATTCGAGCGGTCTCTTTGGTTTAAAAATATTTTCAACAACTTTTAGAACCAGTTTTGATACTACGTCATAGATTTTGAAAGCGCTCAAATAGATGATTTTAAAACAGTGATGTCACTAACAGTTAAGGATTTGTGAGTGTGTAAATCTCTAGCAAAAAAGCTCATATATTACCAGAATTTTATGAAAAATAGATCGTTATATTTAGAATCCTACTTTAACCAGTTATTTAGAATTACAAGGTCAAGTTTTCAAAAATTAATAAAAATTATAAACCTTCATAATTATGCATTTTCTATTTTTTTCTTATAACCGTAATACAAAAAATCTTTTTTGATAATTAATTTTAATGCATGATCTTCGCTACAATTTTTGACATTAATGTCATTTCTATTTCCTTGAACCGTTCTCAATGAAACGTTTCAAAAACAGATGCATCTGGTTTAAACCTATTTCAACGTGACGTCATTGTTTGGTCACTCGAATGGGAATAGTTCAAACTGTTTTCGAACCGCATGAAATATATTTAAACCAGTAGACCGCTCGAATATGGCTTAAATTCGCCAATCATAATGCGCCGTGTACCTAACACCGAAGGGGTTACCCCGCTCAGTACATAAAAAACCCATTTGAGTAACGCTCTCACTTAATGTCAGTTTGCGCAAAACGTCAACTTTGCGGTTGGATTTCGAAGCGCAAAAGCCTACTTTGGATAGTGATTGTTGAAAAAAATTTTTTTTAGGTCAGTTTTACATTCAGGGGGTTTTGTGCTCCAGTCTTCACAATTTTCAACAAAGATCAGTGAGTACCTTGTTATTCTTATATACTAGATACTAGACGTTTAAATATTAATTTTACTGGGTGTCCGAAATTGGCATGTTTCGCAGGGTATGTAGGTATCTCGAAAACAAGAGAACATTGAAAAAAGTAACAAGATTTTGTACTTAGTTTTTTGTTAAACTAACGATAGATCAATCAAATCTTCGATAGGTTGTTTTGCTTTCGAGATACAGTTAGCTTTTTGGAAGTGGTAGAAAACCACAAGATTTTGTCACTTTTTTATTACGAAAAGTTATAAAATGTTTAAAAGGTGCTTCTGCTTTTTTTAGAAGACCCCACCGAGAAAATATAATATAAACATTTTAAATGGGATACCTTACCTTTTTTTTCATTTTTAATTCTCTTTCACCTCATATTGTCAATAGTTGCCGCTACAGAGGGAAAAAAGTTTTCTACTTGATAGATCGTTAAAGATAATTTTAAAAGGAAACACTCAGTAATGTACGATAATATTTTATCATAAATAAATATTGGCTTATTACAAATTATACTTTTAAAAATAAAATCAATCAATTTAAAACTAAAAATAGCCACTTAAATTGTTATTATAATTTATTAGAGTGTTTCATTACTTTAACATTATTTTTTTTTAGTTCGTTTTCTGATCAGCGCATGTTAAATTTAACTATTTGCTATCTGCATATGCCTACATACTATTCACCTTGTGGTGTCCAAATATAAAGGGTTACAATTCTTCAAATAGTTTTTAAAGAATGATGAAATTAAATTTTTTTTAAAAACATGCATTTTATGATAATGTGAAATTATAAAATGTTGATTTTGGACACTCTGTAAATCAAAAATTGTTATACTAAACGATGACGTCACGTAAATTTCAAATAACCTAAAAAATGCATAATACAATCCAATTCATCACCCTATTATTTCCTATTTATACATTTATTTGTTTCAAAGAAAATACCTTGCCGCCAGACTTTTTTGCTACTTTGTATAAAAGTAGAGTTTTTCTTTTAGTTATAATAGTCCAGGATCCGTATGTAAGGTCGACCTTTACCCATCTGTTTACCGGGTGAAAGTTTTTTTTTATTAAATAAAATATGTTTTTAAATATACCGCAAATGGGTTGCCTAAGAAAATACGGTCACGGCCATTTTTTACTTTCCTCTCTGTGTACAGGAATCCTACAGTATAGGAATCATGATAAAAGTTGTTATGATGTCATTCTCTATTATTTTGTTCCTATACATGATTTTCCTAAAATGGACCTAATTTGAGATATTTGATGAAAAGTGCAAATTTCGAATATTGAAGATAACTCAAAAACGGATGAAGAGAAAAACACCAAATTTTTAACTTAAGCTTTAATCTATCCTGCGATGAGCTGATTAAAGTTTGGGCACAGTCAAAGCATTTTGGGAATACTTTACAGGGTGTCGTTTTTTTACTTTAAGAAAATAAATAGTGTGGACCGAATTTTCTTAGGCAACCCATTTGCGGTATATTTAAAAACATATATTATTTAATAAAAAAAAACTTTCTGTCGGTAAACAGATGGGTGAAAGTCAACCTTATTTCGGATCTTAGATATATATAAAAATATAAGATTTTTTTTAAATAAACACAAATCAGCAATAGCGGCATGATAAAGTTTTGTTAAATTACGTTAGAAAAACCAATATGAAATAAAAATGGCAATAAGGATTGGCCAAAAATTTGCTGTATAGCTTTAAATTTCAATAAACCAAACTAATAATTATGGAATGTAAGAAACCTTCAGTTTATAAATACGATTTATTTATCTTGTAATCCTACCTTTGTTTACAAAAGTATTTAATTTGTAGCTAATCTTTAATGTTTATCAGTAGACCTAGGAATATATGCACCCAAAAAGTAGTTAAATATGCACATACAGTATGGTTCAAATGAAAGGAATAAATTCATTATAATGGAAGTAGTTGGTTTTTCGAAAAAATGCTCGAACAGGTCAATTTTGTTTACTTAAAGCGCAATTTTTTAAATAAAATTCAATTTTCCCCCACTTCCCATTTTTGGGCAGTGACGTCATTGACAATTTTTTTAAATAGAAACCCCAATTTTTTTTTCTTGATTTTGATAGATCTTGCAATTTCCTACTTGGAAACGTAATATTTGAAATATCTGACATAACAATTTTTTTTGAAAAAAAGTCATTTCAAGATCAGATACATAAATTTTATGTTATTTTGAAACACAATAAAAATAATAAAAGATAATTATTTGTAATTAATTGCTTAATTTAAAAAAAAATAATAATAATAATAAAACGAATTTAATGACAATTTCACAAATTCTTTTTATTATTATTTTTTTTATTATTATTTTGTTAGATTAAGCATTTAATTACAAATAATTATCTGTTATTAATTTATTGTGTTTCAAAATAACATAAAATTTATGTATCTGATCTTGAAATGACTTTTTTTCAAAAAAAATTGTTATGTCAGATATTTCAAATATTATGTTTCCGAGTAGGAAATTGCAAGATCTATCAAAATCAAGAAAAAAAAAATTGGGTTGCTATTTAAAAAAATTGTCAATGACGTCACTGCCCAAAAATGGGAAGTGGGGGAAAATTGAATTTTATTTAAAAAATTGCGCTTTAAGTAAACAAAATTGACCTGTCCGAGCATTTTTTCGAAAAACCAGCTACTTCCATTATAATGAATTTATTCCTTTCATTTGAACCATACTGTATGACCCAAAATAAGCAGAAAAATCTTAATAAATATATGACCGCAAATTAACGGTTTCGGAGATACGGACCATTTTGTGTTTATAACAATTTTTTATTATTATAAAAAAACAATGATATTTATAAACAATCAATAACAACATAGAGTTAAATGAGATGTTCAAAGTGCCCTCCCTCCATTTCAATGCATTGCCATTTGCACGACCGTACATAAAATGTATGTCAGCTAATTCAATATTAGTGTAAACAGGCATAACGAAAATTTATAAAATTATTCACCCACAACAAAATAATAACTGCAAATAGTATCTATGAAAAAACATCGGTAGACTCCGATAAGAAAAGCAAGTTTTTGAGAATGAAAAAAGATAATCAAAAAATGATACAAAACACAAAACACTCCGTATCTCTGAAACCATTCATTTGCGGACATATGTTTATTAAGACTTTTCTGCATATTTTGGCCCATACTACCCCCCGTTTTATTTTGTGACACTTTTTTTTAACACCCTGTATATGTCGCAAAATACTTCAATATAGGCGTAAAAAATACAATACCTAATATAATACTTAATAATTAGTTAATTATTAACTAATTTTATTTACAAATCAACGTTATTATAAAACGAATGAACAATTAGATGTTTTTCTAAATTATCTGTATTAAATGATTGTCTCCTATCAGTAAGTATGTACTTGTACAAAGAAAAACTCCTTTCGACATCTACAGAAGTAATAGGTGCAAACTTAAATTTTCCTGAAATATCTGGATGAATAGTATTAATATCTTCAAAGTTACCAGAATAAATATTAGCAAGGTTTCTTAAAACAATAAATCCTTCATTTTTTAAAATTACATTTGAAAATTTATGAAAAATCGTCTTTCCAATATCGCCCTGGACATTTTTACACTCAGATTCAAACGTCTTAATTAAATTTACGGAAGTCACCAAAGGTAAATTTTTTTGTTCTAAATCTAATATAATTTTGGGTACAAATGCATAATTTTTTAAAAACACTAATTGCTTTGGTAATATGTGATTTTAAAACAACTTCTTTGTATTAGATATTCCCTTAGATGAATCATCAAAATCAAATATGATTTCTTTCATTTTTTCATAATTATCTGCGTAAAAAACTGGCCCCACCGAGTAATTACAGGTTCCGGTGGCATCTGTAATTCAGGAAATTTTTCTTTGTACAATTGAGTTCTTAGAGCAGCTTTAAGAAATATTTTTTTTACATTACTAATTAAATCATTTATTAAAGGAAAGTTAGACCTAATTTCTTCTGCAACTCTGTTAAGGCTATGAGCCAAACATGTAACATGGATTAAGTTTTCATAAAACATTTTAAAATTTTGTGCGGCTTTTACCATGTACGGGGCAGCATCGTATAACAGCAATAAACATTTTTCTGTTGGAACGGCTTCCGGAAGAAAAAAGGAATACAATTCTGTCTGGATAAAACGAGTTATTGTCAAGTTATTTGTTTTATCTAATTGCTTTGAAGCGATTAGATATGGATCAATTTGCATTTCTTCTCGTAATGAACCTATCATTAAATGGGCTATATATCGACCACAAGAGTCTGTTGTTTCATCCACAATAATGTAGAAATGGTTTCCAACGGTAATCTCATGAACTTTTTCTCAATGTACAAACTGTCAACACCACGTTTGCGTAATATACTTTGCTCTGGAATATTAAATTTACAGTATTTTTGCAAAAATGATCGGATATTTGGATTATTTAATCGTATTAAAGGGATATTCGAAGTCACTAAAGCTTTGCATAAATCTTCATTAAAAATAGCTTGTTCACTTCTAGACGATCCAGATTCTAAATATTGTTTCAAGGGAAGTTGACTTTGTCTGCGAGTGTCTTTAGATTTCTGCTTTGCTATATGTGAGGGTGTTTTCGCGTATTGGTCGATTTGAAACTTTTTTTACATGGGATCTAAAACAAATAAATTTCTGTAGATGTTGAAGTTTTAATTAAATTAAATAAATACGTACGTTGTAAAGTTGCCCTACTTTTTTTTTAACTGTGAGTTGAAATAATATTTACCATTGTGAAAGGTCAAAATAAAATAATTAAATAAAAAAGTACTTACAATTTTAGAACATGTTTTACAAAACACCTGGTTATCGCCTTCTACAACAAAATCTGAATAAGATTTTACCCACGACTCAATTAATTTTGCCATTTTTCCCACTAGTTAACACAACACAACAATAAAGACTGAAATGAAGTTGAAAGTATACTGAGTCATTTAGAAATTTGAAGATATTAATACAACTACCTGAAAGGATATTTAGCAAAATTTGTTGGTTTAAGGAAGGTGTTTATAATTTAATCCTCTCAAGTACCTACACCATTAACCGTAATTTATTACAGGGAAAAGTTAATCCTTCAAAATTTTAGGAAATCGACCTGTAAAGGCATTTCACAAAATATTATTTTGGTCCAAAACTCATAATTTTAATATGTCCAGCCAATTAGTACGTCAGATATATGCCAAAAAATTAACAAAATGTCAATATATGCATTCAAAATCAAAAATTGTATATATATGCAACATATGCAAAATATGGCGTTTTGCATATATTCCTAGCTCTATTTATCAGTTTGTCACTGTACCGACCACTGAAATAAAATAATGAAATCTCCATTTTATCTTACTATTAATATTTTATGTAACATTTAAAAAATAAGATCTTAAAAATTATTTTATCGCCAACAGTCAACAACGCCATGCATTACCATAGCGATTTGCGAAAGTAAACACTTTATCTCACTGTAACTGATTTGTTTTGTATTCGCTGTTATTTTTCTATTTGTTTTCTTTGTCATGCTAAAATGTGTTGTTATAATATCTCCTTTTTTAATAATTATAATTATTTACGGTTGGCTATAAAAGTTTGTCAGCAAAGTGTCTTTATCGAACTCGCCTGTTACTCGCCTCGCTCGCTTCTCTTGCTCCGCTCATAATCTCAGACTAGTTTGATAAAGAATCACTTTGCTGACTTGGTACATAAATAACTATTATTGTAGATCAGTTAACACTAAACTAATACCTGAATATGCTAAATATTTGGCTCAAAATGGAGTTCACGGAGTTTTGGGTAAGTAAAACATGCGTGTTTATTTAAAAAATACTTAATCGAAGTGAATAAATTTTTATTGTTGGAATGGAGTCGTGGAGTGTTTTAGTTACATTACATTAGTTACATTTTTACTTTCCTATCTGTATACAGATATAAGGAAAGTATAGGAATCATGATTTTTTTCGACCTCGAGTTTTCGACGGATTTTTACGTTTTGAGGTCCCCTGAATCCGTTTTGACTATTTTCGCGATGATGTCTGTGTGTGTGTCTGTGTGTCTGTGTGTGTGTGTGTGTGTGTGTGTGTGTGTGTGTGTGTGTGTGTGTGTGTGTGTGTGTGTGTGTGTGTGTGTGTGTGTGTGTGTGTGTGTGTGTGTGTGTGTCTGTATAACGCATAACTCATGAACCGATACACAGAAAAACACCAAATTTTAAACTTAAGCTTTGTTTCAGCGTCCAATGAGCTGATTAGATTTTGGGCAGAGTCGAAACATCTGGGGGGGTACTTTATAGGTGGTCATTTTTATATTTTATGGAATATATCTGTTATTTACGTTTGGAGAAGAAAATTCTTCAAATAAAAGTTACTTCTAATATAATTATCTATAATTTTTGTTATATGCAAAATTTTCCTAAAATGGTCCGTATTCGAGAAATTTGACAAAATGTAAAAAAATATTTTTTTATAAAAATTGTTCAAATAAAAGTTGTTTGTAATATAATTCTCTATAATTTTTATTCCATACATAATTTCTCTAAAATGGACCGTATTCGAGATATTTGAGAAAATGTGTAAATTTCGAATTTTGAAGAAAACTCAAAAACGGATATAGAAAAAAACATTAAATTTTAAACTTAAGGTTTATTTCGGCCTGGCGTGCAATGATTAGATTTTGGACAAAGTCAGAACATCTGGGGGGGTACTTTATGGGAGACCGTTTTTATATTTTATGGAATATATCTGTTATTTATGTTTGGAGAAGAAAATTGTTCAATTAACAGTTACTTCTAATATTATTTTCTATAATTTTTGTTTTATGTCAAAATTTCCTGAAATGGTCCGTATTCGAGAAATTTGACAAAATGTGCAAAATTCTGATTTTTTTTGTTTTTACGTAATAACTAGATAGGAAAGTCATGTGTTGGACACATCAGATTTTTATTAACGGTTTACTTCTTAGGCCGCATTAAAACAGATTTCATGTTTAAAAAAAGTTATAAACTAAAAAAGACGACACCAAATATTTACTCTATTACTGTAGCAACTATATACAGTGAGCACCATAAGTCTATCTAACTCGTTACTGGAGTCTTGTTAGGAAAATCGCCGAGACACGTCGATTTTTGATTTCTACTATGTACATTTTTTTATGAATAGTTTACCCTTAATTTCATCCCTTACTGGAGGGAAGCAACCCTTTCAAAAAATTTAAATGGCATGGGGTGGTGAGCGATAGCTCATTTGAAAGGGGGTTTTATTCTCTATTCAACCGTGCAAAAAATTTTGAAATTTGCTGCATTACGTGTTGATTTATTAATGTTTAAAAATAACAAAATATCACAAATAGGAAAGCAACTTAACTAACAGTGACCTATCTAATGGCAAAAAGTCTTACTTCACGTCTGAACCAAAACCTATTTCATGCAGGGCCGAATTTTAATTCTAAGGATGAGTGCGCTACGTTAATTTCCGTTATTCTGAAACAATAATTAGTCGAGAATTAATGAAGCAAATTTTAAAATTTTTTGCACGGTTGAATAGAGAATAAAACCCCCTTTCAAATGAGCTATCACTCACCACCCCATGCCATTTAAATTTTTCGAAAGGGTTGCTTCCCTCCTGTAAGGGATGAAATTAAGGGTAAACTATTCATACAAAAATGTACATAGTAAAAATCAAAAATCGACGTGTCTCGGCGATTTTCCTAACAAGACTCCAGTAACGAGTTAGATAGGGGGGGTAAGACTTATGGTGCTCACTGTATTTTATGTTACAGAAAGCGTTCATATTTTCTGTAGCACTCGCCATAATATAATTATTTCTAGCATTTTCACTAGGCTCTTTTTATGCATTGCGTTTGTGAACATCCATTCGAAAACAAATGTTATTGTCAAAATAAAACTCTCTAAAATGACATTCATCCAATAAACATTCTGAGATTTTAAAGTACAGTATTTTACACTTTTATTGAGAAACTGCAAGAAGACAATGACAAGTGTTTCAATTATTTTAGAATGTCTATAACATCGTTTGATGAACTAGGAAGCAGGGCCGTAGCTAGCCCCATGTTTCAGGGGGGGGCTAAACAAAATCTTGGGGGCTTCATTTTTTTTATTAGAGTATAACAATTCCAAAAAGACATGAGGAGTTTTGTTTTGAATTCCTTCCTCCGAGGAGAGTTAAAAAAACAAGCAATTACAAAACACATATTTATTTAATAAAAAATATTTTGATTAAACAAAAGAATAAACTCTACAACAAAAAAATATAAAACATCTTTTCCTATGAACATTTAACTGGTTGAGGGTTGAGTTAGTAAAAGCGGCATCAAATATGCCAAAGAGTTAAAAAATTATTTTTTTTTATTAATTTTCAGAATAATTGCAGTTTCCTATTTTTTAAATTATTAAACTCACCAGCAGATTTTTAATATTTATGTTTTTTGTTCTCTCAAATGCTAAATGGGTAAGGTTTGCCAGTCTCGGATGTAACATTGACCTCCGCTGAGGTGGCTGAGGTCTATCAATTCTAGTAAGGGCAAAAAAATTGGATTCACAAAGAGTCGTACTACAGGCGAAAGTACGCCAAGTCGCTGGAAATTCATAGGTTTCTTTAAAAGCAGTGTTTTGCCTAAATATACACTGAAAAATATCGGGATTCTCTAAAGCATTCTCGTTTCTCTGTCAATTTATATATTTCTTGACGACTTCTATTTCCGCAGCACTTGTCAATTGAATGCCCAGTTCGGCCAGTGGTTGATATTTTTCAATATCTAATTTTTCTACTGACATAATAACTTTAATTAAATCATTGTTGTCGTTAAATCTACGTCTTAGTTCTACTAATATTAGGTCAAGAACTTCAAAAAATATTTGTTTGAAATCTTGACACTACATGCAGGGAAATTAGGGGAATTACCGAAAAATAAAGTTTATGGTTATCCGATTTCCAGTTGCAATTTATTGTCTGTGGCTTTGTGTTTATTATGTTTTGATTAAAATGGATGACAGTAAGCAATAAGTTACTGTTAATAAATAAAGTATTTTCTTGTAAGAGAATATAAGTGACTTAAACCATTACTAAAAATATATTGATATAACGGTTCTACTATAAAATTTTTATAGTAAGTACATTTTTTCATAATTCACAATTTCCAAAAAAAATCAGTACACTTTTAAAAATCGTCGATGCGACTCATTGTTCATTGTATGCATTTTTCAACGGCCGTTAATTGCGCTTCTAAATATGGGCAATTTTCTAGGGTGGCGCAGAAAAGCTTTAGGGGGGGCTCAGCCCCCCCTGGCGCCCCCCTTGCTACGGGCCTCCTAACAAGTATGATCAGAACGAATGTGAAGAAAGATTCGCGTTTGCTGCGTGGTGTTGCAGTCTATCAACAGTTCAATCTCCACAATAGTATTGATCGTATTGAAATATGAACAATTTTTAACTGAATACAACAGACGGTAAATAAATTGTGATGCCAGTGTCGAAGTTAAATCAGAAATGGCAGTTCCAAGGACATACGTCTCCCACTGAGTTCTTGGTCCGTTTTCGGACGCACTAGAAAAGCACGGTTGTACAAAATGACTTATTTGACCAGTGACAACCCGTGAGCAAAAAATTTGGGGTTCACAATGACAGAATATAGATCTCAGAACAGATTTAGGTAAAAAAAAATTTCAGTTTTTATAATACACATTTTCAAAACACTGAAAGCTTTTTACCTAAATCTGTACCGATACCTATATTCTCTCATTTTTTAGCCACAAGCCGCCACTGCATTTGACTCAATATATTTTAGGCTAATTTTATGAACTGCGTTTGTGAACATCCGTTGTAAAATGGACGTTTCTGATTCTATTGAATTAAATGTATCCACTAGGGGACATCTGTCTTTAAAATCGCTCAGCCTTTTACTGGTTGAACTGCCAAATGTCTGTTTTACGAGGTTTGTTGGACAGTAACCTGTAAATGACAACCGTATCCATCCTCTTCATCAATTGTTGCATAACTGTGAATATTGGGAAACGCAATGACTGACGCAGGTCCACACAGACGAAAGTTTTCAAACGGATGTTCACAAACGCATTGCATAAAACCAGCCTAAAGAGAATGAATGTTCATTTCGGAAGCACATTTTAAATACTGAAAGTTGGTTTTAAGCACTGTGCTTGTAAACTTCCGATTAGAACGGACGGTTCTAGTTTTATTGAATTAAATATGACGTTTTATGTATGAACGGGCGATCACCAGGCACACCGAAATGAATGTCCGTTCGCTTTAAATGCATTGAGTCAAAGGCTGATTTTATGTATTCCTTTTGTGAACAGTGCGTCGCGCAATGGACTAAAATCAGATTTCGACATCGGGTAAAAATCATATAATATACATCTAGGCTTAAAGAGTAATAACTAATTAATTTAAAACCACCATTTACAGCACGCACAAAGTCACAGAGGTGGCTATGGTAATCGCTGAAATATTCGTCAACTTATAAAATAGTGTTGTTAGTGCAAGCTCTGTCTTATCGTGTTCTAAAAAAAATAATTAAATTAAAATTTTAGTTTGCTTATTTTAAACTTGTTTTGAAAGTGCTATATGTTATAAGGTAAGTACTTTTTAAAGCAAAATTATCGTTGTAAGTTATAGCTCAAAAATATTTAAAAATAATTATTTTTAAAGTTTAGGATAACTTTAGAAAAAAAAAAATAGTTTGGTCCCTTGAAATATATTGTTTTGAAGTAGTTTATATCTTCGCAAATGAGCTAATACATCACTTAAATTGCTCACATTTGCACAAGTAATTAAATTTTTTATTTTTAGTGGCTGATATGGCTTTAAAAAACAGCGATCTTTTTAAAATACCTATGGATTTCAACAGAAAAACTTAAAAGGCAGGCAGAAGTTTCAAAGAAAATTCTAAGTTCTTTAAATTTATCCGACAATTCTGACGATATCGAAAAAGAATGTGATAAAGTTTCACACTTTTTTTGTCTAGCCATAGACAAGAAATGGCAGAAATCTGCACGTATTCTGGATCGTTTTTTGAAAGACAATGGAGAATGGTTTACACAAGAAATATACACGACGGATATCTTTAGGTCATATACGGAGAGCAATAGAGCCCAACACTCTCATATTCCTAAAGCAAACCGTGGACGTCCTCAATTACCTTTTCAAGAAAGCCGTATTAAAACTAAAAAAAGGCGAATCGAAAACTTGGTCAAGAATTACACTATGGAGGAGCTATCTTTTGCCACTCAACATTCATGTTTGCGTTCTTCGGGATTAGAATGTAAATCTAAGATTTTATCATCAGAACAGGCACTCGCGCTGTATTTAGATTTAAATTTAACAACGAAAATACAACCTTTTACGTTCTGTTGTAAACATCTTACACCCAAACTGTTTTCCTCGAATAGCTATCATTAGGGAGCATAGAAATCAGCTAATACCAAGAAATATCGATGTTACTGAGGGCGGTGCAGAAGTAAATCTACAAGAATTACTAAATATTACAGTAGAAAGTATCTTAAAAACTGTCGAAGTTTTTTCTTGTCTATCTGACGGGTGCATCACTAGAATTGTTTTGCAAATACGGATTTGATGGAAGTTCTGGGCATAGCACTTACAAACAAATGTTTAAAAACCCCGAAATGACCGATGAATATTTATTTCTAATAGCTTTATCAACTAATTAATAAAATAACTGGCCAAGTTATTTGGGCTAATCCCAGAACTTCATGAACCTTTTTTTGCAGGCCAATTAAATTTATATTCGCTAAAGAAACATCAAAATTAATTTTGGAGGAAGAAGCTAAATCAAAACTAACATAAAAAATTTATCAGATTTTGAAATAGTGTTCGAGGAAAAACGGCTTCGTATTTATTACACTTTATTATTGACAATGTTAGATGGTAGTACCATTAATACTTTGTCAAGTACCAATGCGACACAAAAATGTTTTCTCTGCGGAGTTTCCCCAAAGGAAATGAATTTAGAGTCAATCACTAAAAAACCTGTTAAAGTTGAGAACTTCAATTTTGGATTGTCCTCACTGCATTCATGGATTCGTTGCTTTGAGTGTTTGTTACACATATCTTATCGACTACCAAGTTTGGCAGGTTAGATGATCTGAAAACAAAAAATCTACGAAGATCGTAAAAAATATATTCAGGCTGAGTTCAAAACCAAGATGGGGTTGGTAGTCGATAAACCAAAACCGGGTTACGGATCCACGAATGATGGTAAAACAGCAAGAAGGTTTTTTAATAACGCTGATCTTAGTTCCGCAATAACAGGTATCGACAAAGAGCTAATATTAAAATTTTCCATTATTTTACGAACAATTTGACCGGTCACTTTTTGAGACTAGATGACTTTATTTACAACTCTACGATTGGTACAATGTGCCTAGTAGTGTACATAAGCTATTAGTTCACGGAAAAGCTATAATTCAGCATTTTGACCTTCCGATTGGCCAGTTAGCTGAAGACGCCTTAGAGGCTAGACACAAAGAAATACGTAAATTTCATTCAAGAGAATCTTCAAGAGCTAACACAAACACAGATATAATGACCTCATTACTAATAACTTCTGACCCATTTGTATCATCTTTAAGAAAAAATAGTTCCAGACACAACGAAAATCTCAGTGGTATCAACGAATACATAATTGACTCGCCTGTAATAGATGATAACAACTTAGATTTACCTATGATCCTAATAGACATAAGCGGTGACGAAAATGAATCTTCAGATAGCGATAGTGAATAGTGAATAAGTTTCTTTTAATTTATCAATGTTTCCTAGTTCTATTTCTTTATAATTTGTTATGTATTATTATTAAATTTAAATAAATATAAATAAAAAGTAGATATTTTTCAAGTTATAGATCTCTAATCTTTAAAAATATATGTATGTACAAATACCAAGTAATAAGTATTTAATTTCTTCAAAAAATATTTATTTGGGACACCTTGTATGTCTGGTACCATATTTTTTTTATTTGTACATTATTAATAGCCTGTCATATAAATATATCCCAAATTTTTTCTAAAACTATTGGTGGTTTAGGACTGAGAGTTTTTGTCCAGGTAGATCTATACCGCGACGCACTGTGGCGAAAACGGACGTCTGTATGGTCCTTCGTCGATTATACTTTTTACTGAATTTTTAACGCATTTATGACATTTCAATTATGCGTTTCCCAACGTCTTTATGTGGGAATTTTACAAAACAATTAGATTTTTTTTACGTAGTCTATCAACAGCTCAACGTCCACACTCCCAACCTTTTGGATTGGTTTACGGCTATTAAAACACGTACAATTTTTAACAGGATACGATATACAGTGAAGAAACTGTGATGCCAGTTCGATGCCAATATCGACTTGGTAACGTACTTATCTCACGGCGCTTATATTCACTTACCTATAGGCAATTGTGGTTGAGAGACAAAACAGCTTCGAATCCTACAGTAGACCATATAAATTGATTTGCATGGTTCGTTATAGGATTGATGTGTGTCGTATTAGCAGTAATTTAATTTCTATTGATACGAAACCCAATTACAAATCGCCGTACGTTACCATTTCGATGATGGTGGATAAGGTTTTCCGGATTTGTCTGACCTGTTAGTCAAATGGCACTATCAATCATCTTTAAGTCGCCTCGCCCCGGAACGCCACGGCCAATATTAATAATGGCCGTCCCTTCCACACACAAACTTAGTCGGCTTCAGGGGTTGAAATTCACTCGTAAGAGGCTGAATTAGGAAGATTATTATTGTTATTTTGGCGTAGTAACTAATCGTTTTTCTGTGGTGCGGAAACGTCTTACAGCACGCCTACATACGTAAGCTTACGGTCTGTGGTATATGCACGTAAAACAAACGAAATAACCTATTTTTATTGGAGAAAAAAAATCCTAATTAGTTTTCATTGTCGACATTAACGACATTTTTAACTTTTAAGTAATAGTATATTACGTAACAAGAGTTTACGCACGAAGCCGCGCAGCGGCGAGTGCGTAATAGGCTTACAACTCGTGTAACGTACTATACTTTTTTACGCCCACTTAAAACATTCTAAAAAAAGGATTTAATGTTATGCTTGTGGTGCCAATCTATAAATTTTCGATAGATAATTTCGTACCTTTCTTTGGATTTTAGCGGTAACAAATTATGTGTGGCAGCTTGAGCTTTTTCTAAAATCTCCGGTGGAGTGCTCATAATTTCATCACTTTCACTGCTAACAAACATATTCGTAGGTAAAGTTGAGAAAATGTTCGGATACAATCATATTTTGTTACAAAAAATGACAATATAAATGGCATGACGTTTATTTCCATAGCATGCTAAGAAAACGCGACATATTTTTTAAAATATTCTATAATATGTTGCCGACATTTAGGGGCATCACTCTTTTAATCCAAAATGTATCTCGCTAATGCTAAAAGTTTTTATGTTTTTTAAATGACTAAATTTATGTAAATAGACCAAATAAAGTCGTACGTAGACAAACATTTGATTCCAATTGGATTAAACCAAAAAATTTAAAATTTCTTATCAAAACGCACGTGTATGTTATATGATCTCATTACGTGCATGTTATTGTTAAATGTCATTTAGAAGGAATGTTGATAGTGCGATTTTTAAAATTTACCGACATGCATAGAAAAACGTTATTTTTGTGTTTGACTTCGTTAACGTACAACAAACACTTCAACTTTTTAAGGCCGGTCGCAAATCTCTATTTTTAGTTTGCAGAACACACAAAAAGTACTGAAATAGTCTATTCCTCGCATAAGATCGACTTTTTCCGAACGGAATCTTTTCATAAAGTGCGTTTGGAAAGATAACTTTTGCATTCGGAATTTGAATCTATTAAATAATCGAATGTCTACGACATATTCACGAAATTTTCTTTTCGTTTTTCGAATTAAAAAACCGAATACGCGAAACGAATGTTTTCGGTCAGCCTAATATAGTTTCGATTTTTCTTATGAGCCTAATTAATTTTAGTTCACGGATCGTCCTCAGAAGGAATGTGTATGTCAGCAGTCGAAAGAAAGGCATCGCTAGAAGCATGGTTAAAAGCAGTAAAAACTACAAAACAACACTTAATGGTACAAGTAGGTGGTTGCCCTCTGCCAGATGTTCTGGACCTAGCAAAACACGCTGAAAAGGTTGGGGCAGATTCAATTTTGTGCCTTCCTGAATTATATTTCAAACCAAGCACAGTAAAGGAGCTTATAAATTATTTAAAACTTGTTGGAGAAGCTGCTCCAAATACCCCATTGTTGTATTACCATATTCCTCGTTGGTCTGGAGTTAACAGTAAGTCAATATTAATTTCAAATTTAACCAAAATAATAGACAGTAAATCATCTAAAGTGAACAACAACCGAGATGATAAGATTATTAGTATATGTACACTGCAGTATAACTGTAGTATTGGATTATTAGCAGTAATAGGAACTACTTGTTACACTAGTCATATGACTAAGGTGAATATAGCACGCCTAATAATTTTCGGACAAGGATATCTCTAAACAAATTTTGGAAACTAAAATGGGAAATATCTAGCGATGCTCGTATTTTTAAATTTTAAAATAACCTATCTAAACCTAGGTAAAAGTAAGCAATATTTGTGATGTAAGGATATGTATGCGATATATAAGATCTATTGTAGCTAAGGCAGTAAGGGATGTCTATAACGACTTTCAGAATCCTATCTTATCAAGGAAATGTAGGATTTGAAGTAGGGCCAGTTGGGCAGATCGCCCTCTTCTATTTGATATACTCCAAAGTATAGTTTCCTTAGAGTCCTCCTTGTAGTCCCAGTTTACTAAGGTGTCCTCAGCAATGCCCGCTAAGGATCCCCGTTACAAAGCATAGTCGGTTCTTGCTCAAACAGATACATTCGATCTTTTTTGGTTATAATCACCCAGAAGTATCTTAGCCTGTCTTAACCCCAAGAGTCTAAAAGATCATTCCGACTATCATATCTTCTATTACTCAAATATTTTTTAATCTCTCCTAATATTGGTGCTACTGCTGATACTGTGAAATGGCTCAGGTCTCATAAAGGATTCTTAAACCTCTTTCCTTGCAAGACTATTTGCAATTTCGTTACCCTTTACCCCGCTGTATCACGGGACCCAAGTGAGAGCAACTGGCTCGCCTGGTTTATTTAGTTTTTTAGGTATCTCCAGATAATTTTTGAGCTGATTACGTAAAAGCTCGGCGCATTAGTGGCTGCCAAAACTTTCAAAATACCTGGTTCTAGGCTCATAATATACTTCTATTCCAGTTTCTTCTGTGGTTTTGGAGTATTCGGTATACCTCTAAATTACGTGCCTTTCAGTTGCGAACACAAACATCAATATAAAAAATAGAATTAATACAAAAAATATGAACTAACAGTGTGCTTTTTTAAAACTGCTGAGTGACAATTTACTTTTAATATTACTTAGACATTTCATTAAATAATTTGCTGGCATTATAAGAAAATGATCTCTGAAAGAGTGACGTTTTATATTTATTAACTACAGAAATATATTTGTACCTTGTATTATGGTTGTGGATGGAAGATCTGACAGTTAACTTAAAAAAAATATAAAACTCTGATAATTTTTCGGACATATGATCTGATCTTCGAAGAGAGAAACTTCTGAACACGCTGAATTCGTGTTGTCGAATCAGCATCCAGGCATGGTCCATAAATAAAATGACTTTTAAGACCAGAGAATCAGTTGTTCTCGTAGGCGAAAATTCAAAAAAAGTTTACTGTAATCGATGTTTTTGAGAGACATGTAATACTTTTGTAATACGACTTTAAGCTGTAGTTTTAATCTGAGTTTAGTATCCAATCACTAGTCCTAAGTTTTTAGTCACTAGGCTCACATATGTTTCCATTAATCACAATAATCAAAGTGTTGACAGTATCCCTATTTTTGCTAAACACTATTGTATTCTTTTTTGTAGAGTTAATTTTTATTCCAAACTTACATAAAACATCTTAGACATTTGCTAAGGTTGCATTTATATTTAAAGAAACCTGATGGACTTAATGTGTCATCAGCAAATCATATATTTCACAATTGTTTACTTGTTTAGCCATATCCGCTGTATATAATACAAACAGTAATGGTCCCAGAATTGAAGTCTGTGGTACTCCCTTTGTAATTTGTCAAGACCTTGACATCGTTTAGAAAGATATGAATAATTGATCATGCTAACAATATGAACAGCAAAACCATAGTAGTGCAGTTTTGACAGCAATAGCTCCCTTCCCAGAGTGTCAAAAGCTTTACTGAAAACCAGCAATATCAACGTTGCCATTTCTCCTTTATCAATAGCAACCATTATATCAACCAATACTTTAGTCAAGACAGTAACGGTGCTATACCCTTTACGAAATCCAGACTGACTTTCTGGAATCAAGCTATTTACTGCTACCATCTAAGTATAGATAAGTCTTTATAAGATTTTAGATAATACTAATCGGTCTTAAATTACAAAACGGTTTAGGGTTATTGACCTTGGAGAGGAGTAAGTTAAACATTTCTCCAATTAATTGGGAAATATCCTAAATCAATGCAACAATTGTATATGTACCTTAAGTATGGCATAATATAAGGGCAACACATCTAATTAATATTTAGTGTGGTATCATCAGAACCTTCAGAGTTTCATTTTATTCTTGCAATTGCTTCTACTTCATGATTTATAAAACAATTTATAGATTGTACTGAATTTCATCATAAATTCTAGTTTGACATTTTAAATTCTACACTGACTTAATGAAGAATACATTTTTCTCTTCTGGATTATTTAAGTGAGGCGGAATTTAGACATTGCTATTACTACTATAGTAAACATTGAATTCCATGTATTTTTGCGTTCTTGTACCTTTAAATATCTTGTAACATTCCACTGGTAGTGAGTTTAGTGGTTTCCGTAAATTAGCTAATACATATAAAATATTAAAATATATTGTTTTTTTTTTTAGTAAATATGGAACAATTTTTGAACCAAGTTGGTGAGGTAATTCCAAATTTCAAAGGTATTAAGTACTCATCCAACGATTTAGATGCTGGCTTAGCTGCTCTTAGAGTCAAAAACCGTAAATATGCCGTGTTTTTGGGAGCTAATACAGTAAGTGAAATACAAAAAATTCTAATTTTATAAAGACATTGGTTCCATGATTATTATTTCGATATTACGTCTAGACCCTCGGTCACCATCATTTTTGCCAGTGAAGCGAAGATATTTCATATTATTATCTTATTGTTATCAAAATTTTAAATAATTAGATAATATATTTTTTAGCTAATAGCTCCAGCTTTTGCTATGGGATTCGACTCTACCATTGGTACTTCATTGAATATGTTACCTCAATACTCAGTAGCGATTGCAAAAGCCATCAAAGAAAATAATTTAAATGAAGCTACAAAAATACAGGAAGAACTATCTGCAATTATAGACGTTATTACCAAAAATGGTAACAATTAGGAACTAATACAAATAATCAATTTTTGATATTTTACTTATTTCTTTACTTTACATAATTTAATAATAATTTTACCTACAAACCTAATACCTATTTGTATTACCAATTTATATTTTTCTAGGTCATTGGGTTCCAACGATGAAAGCTGCCGCTACCTTATTATCGCCGATTGACGTCGGCAAAACTAGGCCACCACTTGCAAATCTGACCGATGACCAAGTGACAGAGATGAAAGAATCGCTTAAAAGATTTTCTCTTCTGTGATGAAGTACAATAAATAACTTGTAAAAACTGTAAAATTTTATCATAAGTAGAAACTAAAAGGCTAAGATAATTATTGATCACCTACGACCTACAGGTACCGATTTGGTTGCATTATCTTCAGTTGCGAAGGACGGTTCAAAAATATTTTCTGATTTTTTTCATAGTTCCTTCAGAAAACCTTGATTTGTCCGTTTAATTAGTAATTTAGAAACAAATTGTTATTAAAAAACCTTTACTATTGACACGATGTGCGTGTTCTATAATAATTAAGGGACTATCTATATCCCGGGGGTATACAAGCTAAATATATAAATTCGGGCTTCAACCATTTAACCATTAACTGTATAAGGGTTCTAATTTCGATATAAGAACATAATACGTTCCTGTAAAAGGGCTGAAGGAAACAAAGTGTTCTCAAAACAAATTATAATTAAAACAATAATTATATAAAACCCTTGATCAAAAGTCAATACCGCGATTTAAAATACAAAAAAGGCTCTAAGCCCTCGCGACCAAAATGTGACTTAATTCGCCACGCGGAGAATGTCGCATGTCTAATAGTTATTGAATAATCAGCCTTGTACATGGTTGCAACTTAAAACAACTTCACGACATAATTAAACAAACTTTCATGCATAGGATGTTATTTAAATAATTAATTAGAATTTTGAAAAAATGTGAATTTATAGGAAGCGTGACAATATTAGTGCCCTTAAGTAACCAGTAGGATAATTACCGTCACTTTGTCGCTATGCTAACATTAAATCATGGGAGATTGGTAGAATCTGCTTTCCAAAATCCAAGATTTATTTTCAACACATAGATTCAAAACACCAGGAAAATACAAATTCATTAAATGCAATCAAGTGGTTTAGGGTTATAAACAATTTTTGTAAAGGTAAATATACTAATCGTATTGAGTTGTTTACATATAATATAGTTAATTTATACATTAAATATTGTTAAAAAAAATTGTAATGAAAAGGATTAAAAACTAAATCTAAAAGCTTAAATTTAATTTAATAAGACGTTTAAATACTTAACATTAATTTATTGTTACATAATTATATTTTGATTTGCGTTTTAATTTATAAAATCATTTGTTTATTTATTTAATATTTTATATTTAGAATTATTAAACTATTTATTGTATTATATTCAAAAATAAAAAATTTAATTGTATTATATTTAAAAAGATTTAATTGTATTATATTTAAAAAATTTAATTGAAAACAATATTTGTACTACATTATAGATAAATAAACATTATTATTATTTATAAAACAAAAATATTATAGGTACACACTAGTAGATAGCACCACATCCAGATGAATGGCTCAGCTGGTATCTAAGAGAACTGCAGACAGAGTAGGACACCATCTCCATCTGCACAACCAGAGTATGTCCAAAAGGAGGAGAGTTATATCCCCACTAATGTGGAGCCTAACCGTAGACGAACTTTTATGCAGATTGACTGACCTCGGGTTATGCAGACGACATAGTCATATTTGTAAGATGGAAGTTTGGAAATATCATGTGTGATATAGTCCAAAAAGGACTAGTGCACACGAGAAGATGGTGTTTTGAGGTAGGATTTAGTAAAAACCTCACGAAAACAATACTAGTAGCCTTTTCAAGGAAAAGAAAACTCAAATTAGACGGGTAAATTTAGAATAGAATATCAAGGCCTACTTCTGGACAACAAACTATTCTGGAATATATGTATATGAGAAGGAAGTAATAAATAAGTAGTAAATAAGGACAGAAAAGCCCTAATGGTGTGCAAAAACTAGCATGGAGGAACATTGCGGGTAAAATATGGGGATTTATCCCGAACACACTGCGATAGATATATACTGCAATAGTGAGACCAATCATCACTACCGGGGCTATAGCCTGGTGTAACAGAACTAGTTTAGCTACTGCGAGAGCTAATATTTTAAAAGTATGAAGACTAATCTGTGTTTGCATCACCAGTGCAATGAGATGTCCTACGGCTGCAATGTAGGTGATTTTAAACCTGACCCCCTTTACATTTAATGATAGAAAATGTGACAAAAAGTACACGATATAGAATAATCAGGAACAGAGTAATCACATTCACATTCTGACTGAATGTGTAACACTCCAGTAATTAGATAAAAGTCTATTAGCTTCAGGACCAAAGAATGTGCCCTAAGATGAAATGAGAAAGAAATAAAGTTTTAAAAAAAACTTCAAAACCAGAGAGCATAAAAGAATGGAGCCAAGAATCCATCGTGCTTGCAACCGAAAGACATGCTCAGTAGTATACGGATGGTTCCAAAACCATAGAAGGAACTGAAATAGGAGTGTATGTGCCTAGAACCAGGCACTTAGAAAGTTTGAGAAAATAACCAAGCATCTTCCAGGCGGAAATTCACGCTATTGAGAAGAGTATTCAATTTAACATTAAAAGAAACTATCATAGACAAGAGATTATTGTCATGTCCGATAGCCAAGCAGTCATCAAAGAGCTGAGCTCTTACGTAATCAGCTAAAAAATGGTATGGAGATACCTAGAAAAACTGAGCTAGGGGAGGAACATACAGTTACTTTCACTTGGGTACCAGGACATAACGGGGTATATATAGAGTAACGAGATTCCAAATAGTCTCGCAAAGGAAAAGGCTGAAACACCCTTTCTGGGACCTGAACCGTTCTGCAGTATCAGGAATAACACAATATTAGGAAAGATTATAAAAGATTTGGGCAGTAGAATAATCTATAATTGGAACAATATCTTGGGGCTGAGGCAGACTAAGATACTTCTGGGTGAATATAACCAGAAAATATCAGAAGCTTGTATCTTCCTTAGCAAGAACAGGCTCGTATTGCAACAGGGATATTTACTGGGCACTGCCGACTCAACGGATACCTTAGTAAACTGAAAGCACTAGAAGATAGTGAGTGTAGATTCTGTGAGGAGGAGGACGAAACCTCCATTCACATTCTGACTAAATGTGTAGTACTCCAGAACCCAAGGTAACTTTACTTAGGAGCATATCAAATAGAAGAGTGAGTTTTACCTAACTTGAAAGGACTGAAAGGGACATTATAGGCATTGAAAAAAAAAATAGGCATTGAGACATTTACTTGCTGCATTAGCGGCAGAAACGGGCACAATAGATGTTTTAGGTTGCAGTGTATTAACACCCCATTCCCAACATAACATAGGTATACACTGACCTTTTCATTTCGCTCTTTACCAATTATTTATTAGCCTCTAAAAAATAAAAATTATGAATGTAAAATACGAAATATTAGTAGGTAATTTTACAATATGAAAATATATTTTGATTAACTAATAATTTGGAATATGATGGATTTTATCCCAAACTAGATACCATATATTCTATTATCACTTTTCTGGTGCTAAAAGTCTAACTTGCGAACTAAAATCTCGTCAAGTGTCCTCTATATTATTCTCGCGAGCATATTTGATATTCTCGAAGGCATGAGGGAACGTTCAAGAGAGTAATGGGGATCATTAACTTTGATCGGATACCCGTAAACTCATCGGCATCCACTTTTGCCAAATTACATCCTACATTTGGGCACGGTTATTAACACGACTAATAACAGAATCGCAGATTGTTAAATACTTTGTGGTTAATCATGGAACGCGGTTGTTAGATTTTCCCAAAAGGGTTTCAGGTTAAATGAATTAGTTACGACTTTAATTCAAAAATCATATTTAAATGTACCCATATGTAAAACTTTAAATAAAGTAGAAACTTCATTATAATGAATGTCAAATAGAGTTAAGCTATATTTCATGAACTGTTATTTCATTATTGTATTTTTGTTAATTTCTCGAACAAATTTCAAAATTATCCCTACGGAAAACTATTTTTAAACCAAATGCATTTATGCATATTAAACCCATGTTTGCTTATTATACTTACTACTAATCAGATCTTACCAAATGAGCTACCAAGGACATAGACTTGAACAGAGCTACTTAGAAACACGTCGGTAATGAATAACTTTGTAAGAAATAAAGGTCCTTTTATTCTACCTTTTTTAATCAAAAATAGAGATAGTATTTTTATTATTTGATAAGTTTTTTTCGTCCTAAGTGTAAAAAATCTAATCATATTGTTTATAGAGGGGTGATTATCAAAACTGTCAAAGGTGTAACTAGATGGCGTCTGTTAAACAAAGTTTATTATGTTACTAGTTTCAAAAAGTGGATATTGTATTGTGGTACTATATTGTTATACATACAGCGGGTTATAAATAACTTTCGCTCATAGATTATTCAATTGAATACAGCTCGAGGAGTAAAACACTCCCGAAATACTGGTACGTTTTCACTCGAAATCTCAAAAATCACTAAAAACTACAAAATTTCTAAAATCATTATCGAAAATCATGGTCGAAATCATTACCGAAATCACTTCTAAATCAATTTGTTGCTCAGCTTGTGGATCAAAAGAAATGGTTTACCAAACATCTTAAAAAAAATGTAATTTGAATATTTAATTTATAGAGAAAACAGGAAATTTTATACAATAATTTCGGCGAAATCATACAAATTTTAGGTGATTTCCAAAATACAGGTACTTTTTGACTTTAGTAGTTTACCCCTCGATACAGCCATTGTATTATAAAAAATCTATGGGATTAGATTTATTTATTCAAGTGGCAACCATTTATGCATTTATTTACATTTTATTAAGCCTAAATATAACATTCATGCTCAGTGAAATTTTTGAGAAATTTATTAGGAAATTTTGGCTCCAAAAACCAAACCCTTAAAGTAACAATTCTCTACATATCCCTGCAACCGTTTGAACTGGGACCATCTGGTTTACTGCATTTAATTTGTAACGATGTTCCCTAGTAACACCGTTCTAGAGACGCCTATGGTTCAGCATGCAGCCGTTTTTGCCAAGCAGAGACAACTATATAAAGAGCTCCGATTTTAATTCTCGTCAGTCGAACTAAGGTACTGACTTAGTAAGACTCTCCTCTCCTGCAGAGGTATTGACTCTGTAGGCTTCCCGACGTCTTGACCCTTGCCTGCAAAGGTATTGACTTTGTAGGTTTTCCTTTCCCGTGGATCTCTCCCACGAAGGTATTGACTTCGAGGGACTTCTATTACCGTAAACATAACTTAAGCTCTTGTCACGTTTTCGCCACGTCATCCTGGACCACCGAGCCACGCCGAACCGACGCACAAAATATATTTTGGGGAAACAATATTCGAAGACACGACGATTCGAAATTTAGTTAGAACCTTCTCATTGTACATATTTTAAATATTGTTGTATATATATATAAATTGTTAGAATAAAGTTTTATTTCCAAAGAACTCCGATTGTTTAAAATCTACCTGCTACCCGAACAAACCCCAGGAGGGGTTACAAATTCATTCCAATGAGATCTTCAAGATGATACACAGAAGTATGGAAATATCTCTATATCTCTACAAACCGCTGTAAACATCGTTGATGAGTGGTGGAGATAGGAGGAACTAACAGTAAACCCTCACCAAACCACAATAGTCAACTTCACATAACAAAAGGTACTGACAGGACTAAAGTCAACAGTACTGAAAATAGTAAAGATTCCATTTGCCTAAGAGGCAAAATATTTGGGTGTCATCTAAGGCCACAGGTTAACAAGGAATCAAACTTGCAATAAGTCACCCATAAAAGCACAACAGCAGTCAAAGTTTGTATGGAAAAAATACAGCCTATGATAACCTACGGATCGGTGTATGGTGGCCTAAGACTTGGCAAGGTGCAGTCATTCGACAGCTCAACGCCATTCAAAGTCAAGCATGCTTAAGTGCAACGGCAGCCATGATAACGACAGCAACCCTAGAAGTCATGATAAACCTAACACCACTACACATATTCAGGTCTGTTACATACAGACTGCACAAAGGTCCGTCACCCCTAAGCAGTGTGCATGGACGTGACTACAGCGAGCTATATAAATGAATGGAGAACGAGCAAATAATGGGAATGCCTTCAGACGAAATGCTCCCAAAATATAGGTTTCAGAAGCAAGATAAAGTAAATATAACAGAGAGGGAAGTGTAGACGGGAG